TATCAGGTATCACTTCAAAACTACCGGATTTCGTCTTGTCTGAATGCGGAAAGAAATCGAGACCGAGAGTTCAAGTTACAGATTGAGTTTCTTCTTGATCATTGATTTAACATCTTGATGCTCATTTGGCTGTCCTTGTTTGTTCAGTGTCACTATAGCTACAGCGCGTGCGGGCTAGGATCAGACGGAACTAACAGGCTGGTCCAGTTAGTACAAGGGATGCAGCATAACAAGTCTAAAACCGATGACGGAACTTTATATGGAGCCAAAATCACCGGTGGTGGATCAGGTGGAACAGTCTGCGTCATAGGCCGTAACTCATTGCGCAGTAGCCAACAAATTCTCGAGGTATATATTTACTTTGGGTTCTATTCACTTCAAATTTTCCAAGTTAGTAGTAGGAACTTTGGTTATATAATATATGTATACATGATGTGGTCAATGGATATATAAATGTAATGGTGGTGAAATGTTCAGATTCAGCAGAGATACAAAGCAGCGACAGGGTATTTGCCACTCATATTCGAAGGTTCCTCACCTGGAGCTGGCAAGTTTGGTTACCTCCGAATCCGACGTCGTACTTCTCTTTGATTCCATTCAACCTCTCCCCTAATTGGGTAATAGTCTTTTATTTATCTTGCGATACGTTTCTTAAATATATTGATATAGCCATAGGTAAATCATCTAAAAAATAATTATAGGTCGTTCTTCTCTCCACTTCCAAATAATAATAGGATGCTAAATGGGATCTTAGTATTATTATTATTTTCTTTCTTCATGTGTACAACGTTATGTTAAACGAATATCTTATGCAAAAGAACGATTACTCTTCACTTACTGTATATGTTAATTTGAAACTTGTTCATTGTGTTTGTCATATACTCGTGTAATCGTATTCCTTTCAAGTTTTGTTTTCATTGTGAAGCGTTTGGTTAGAAACCTTATTAAAATTAGAGAAATTTACAATTTATGGTTCTTTTCCACTTTATATTTACATTTCATAGTACTTTACTTTTAACTGGTACTTTATTTGAGTTATCCCTACCAAAAACCCATCATTACCCTTTCCACCATCACTTTTCACTAAACCGATTATTATCAAATCAAATTAAACCAACTACATTTTTTAGATCGCTCCCAATTTCTTCCTCTTCTTTAACGACATCAGTCCCAGTTTTTTCCTCTCCTCTCCTCATTCTAGCTTGTTCTCTTTTAGATCTATTTCGCTGTTTTCCATATTTTTTTACAAAAACTCGGCTATGGCTCCATGCTTTACCTGTGATCACCTCACTGCACGAATTCCGATAAAAAAGAAGATGATGATACAATCTCTGGTGAAAGAGGAAGATGATGAATCACCACACACCAAATCTGGGATATGGTCACATCCACACACACGGACAGCAATCTTTGAAAGAGGAAGATGATGAATCACCACACACCAAATCTGGGATATGGTCACATCCACACACACGAACAACAATCTCTGGATATGTTTTTGTTGATACGATTACATCCATATGGCTAAAACCATATGACAAAATCCATATATCCAAACTAATTCTATATTGTTGTTTATATATACCGTCCCTTATATATATGCGTATGGCTACATCCATGTATTTTACACTTGGAAGTATCCACTAGATCATATCCACGCATCCACCTAATTCATAGTCGTGTATTCATTGTTATAGACCTGTAGTAACATGGTTATGCATTTATTATATTATATTCAGTGTTAGTGTCATGATTAAGTGGACAAAACTATATGGTTTAATATATAAGTTTCTTGGACACATTATTATGGCATGTTTGTATGGACACGTGATAATATGAAGCTCCATTTCTCTATGGACATAAGTCACATAACCATATAATCATGCACAACTAATATATCGGAACAATACATATGGTCACGATACACATAGGTCTTCATTTTTCAATAGTGTATTATTGCTATATTTTTAAATTATCCACATCTACATGATTTCTCACTTTATTAATCGAACCTGTCTTTATGTACATAACCATATGGAATAAACCCAAATATATTGTACTTCGTGGATATAACCATATGGACATATACGCAACTATATTGTACTTAGTCTTATATAGCCACATTATATGGACATAACCAACTTGTCATACCTACTGGTTTTTACCGTAAGCAGGACTATATATATGTAATTTGAGATGCCCCATTATATTCATTCACATACGACTATTATCCAAGTTACTTAATATCACCTTCGATTACCTGGATTTACTTATTGTCAATGTACACAATTGACCATCTAATTTTTAATGCCAGTGTAATGGTCACGTACACATCCACAGCTTGAGCTAGCTCATGCCACATCAACAAATAAAATATGGCTCCAATTGTCAACAAACCAAAAAATTCCGCTATAACAGCTTAATTACATGGTAGCGACTATATGGTATATATAGTTATGGTTAAAGAGCTTCATTCATATTGGTATATACTCATGGTTGTGTAGTCATGGTTATGGAGCTGTTGTAATATTGGCATTCTCACATGTAAAACAGTTTTATGATTAAGTGGACAACACTGTTGATTTAGTATATACGATTTTTTAGAAGTACATGGTAGCAACTATATGGTTGCATTGTCAATAATTGTCTTTCATTTTGCTTATGTCGGAGTTCTAGCTATAATGGACTTGGCCACCATCGGTAATACATCATGGACATGGTTACGATAGACAAGATATCATGGATATGGTTACCATGGAATAGATATCATGTACACAGCTTGAATATCACTATCTCACCTAGCTCGTACTCGTCTGACTTCACAACTCCTTCGCCGACAGTTTCGGAGCAATGTCAGCTTTGTCGACAGATTCGTGACGGCGAAAAGACTCTTGTTCGAGGATCAGTGAGCTTCCACGAGATTCATCTCCAGTGAGAGATAAGAGAGTAGAAGAGAAGAGGAGATTTGAGGGAGAGCGAGCTGAAATCTAAGAGCGAGAGAAGAAGAGAAGAGGAGAACTGAGAGAGAGCAGAAATCTAAGAGCGAGAAATATAATCACTATATGGAAAGAGAGCAAATATCTAAGAGCAAGAGACATGGTCACCAGATCTGAGAAAGAGATAGAGAAAGAGAAAGACTAAGCTCAAGGAGAGCTTAAGGCGAAGAAGGAGATACGGAGAGAATGAGAGAGATGTGTTTAGCCTTTTAATTATTAAACCGTTTTCAAATTTGGTTAACTAATTTTATTCGAACCATTTGCTGATAATTAAATTGGAAGGAGAGGACTGAAAAGGATTTTCACGTCTATAAACTATAACAAAGTGCTATCTTATTTGAAAGTGCTAAAATCTGTAATTAAGAACTCAAAAAGAGCTATAGAGTGTAAACGTCTCTTCAAATTATAGTTCAATGAGAAATAGTAATCAAATTTGGAAGTAGTAAACCCCTTAGTTAAAGTACAAGAATATGAAAATAGTGAATACGCTAAAAGCCTAAAAGCAAGTTGAAGGGGTGGGGCTTTGGTTAGAGCATGTACATCAGTGAACCCCTAAGGGTTCACCAGAAAGAAGTTCATCAGAATATAATAACTTTTTTTTTTGGTTTTAGGTATTTTTTTTAATTCGAAAATTATAATTTTTAACCAATCAGGATGCTTCATTTTGGGATGATATCGTCTTTTCAGGTTCGTCGAGATGATACGGTCTCTTTAATATTAAGATTTTTTGCCTAAAAAACTGTGTCATGAACCTCTCTTGATCCCTTTATCTACATGCTGAATGAGTGAAGATTCCGGGTTAGTATCATTATAGTTCACATTGCACAGTACCCGATGATCTTATTTATTATTGCTCATGTGCCTTTAATTGCTTTACATACTCATCTAGATTACTTTAATACTTTCTCTTTCCCTTTTCTTTTATAGATTTCTCTTTTATATAAGGGAATGCTGTAGATGTAAAAAGCTCATTAATAGTTTAATTACATATGTATACGCCGGTCTTAAGCTTCACATCTGACCAATAATATTACAAATTTTCACAATACATTAAATGAAGTCAACAGGGAAAAAGAAAGAAATCGGTAATTGAGTTTCCTTAGAAACATTAAAGTGGGGAGAGATCCGAACATATATGAACAAGGACTTTACTAGTTTACTTACTTCAGTACTGATAAACGAGTCGACATGCACGTGCTCGTTTTCAGTCTTACGCGTTCTCATCGGATCCTATGAACTTCTTTCATCCAACCGTCTTTATTGTCCCACGTGTCCCTTCTGCGTTTCAACCTTGTTCATCATTATGGAAAAAAGACTTAGTTCAAAAATCAAAAACCACCGTGCAAAAATAAACAATCGAAATAGCAAATGCACGTAACTTTTTTTATATCGATTTGACCAGGATTCTTTTTTATTTCTGGAGTGGATAAGAGCTGTTGTTTTCATTACTTTTCTTTCTCATATTTTTACAGGCTGAACAAATTCTCCTCAAAACTAGTAATTAGTGAGCGAATCTATTGGGAAGGTAAGGTAGTCGTCATATCGTGAGAGCGAGAGCAATCATTTTTTTTTTATTAATGTAGAAAGATTTAGTAAAATCTCGTGGAATACTAGTGTTGCACTGGACTATGGCTTGCGTCAGAATCACAGATTATATACAAATATTGTTCCTTTCAGATTTTCATATCTTTTGGTAAAAGTGGTATTGGTATATATATAATTTAGTTCTTTCGGTTAACTATCTTAAGATTACTTCACATTTTCACTACCCAATTGACTTCTCATGTTCAAAAAAAAAAAAAACTTACATGTTGGATATAAAAATATGTATATATGATAATATGAATGTGATGTAAGACTCCCTTTTGACGTATTTATCTTTATAAAGTTTTAACGTATTTATCTTTATAAAGTTTTAACGTAGAAAAATGTTTTTAAAAGAAAAAACAAATCAAATTGGTAAGAAATTAAAGCAAGTATTTGGATACAACAATCTACACGTTCCTTTGCTTCTCTATAACACTTGTTGCCTTCTTCCTCTTTGTCCTCTTCCTCTTCTTCTTCCTTCTTCCTCAAAATTCATTTTCACATTCTCTCACCAGACACCAACTCCAGTTTCATCCCGACAATGGAAACATTCCGAACATTCCATCTTCTTCTCCCTTTTCTTTTCCACCTCCTCTTCTTCTTCACAAACACTCCCCTGACGTCAGCAAAATCTCAGATCGTTGACTGTACAATGTGCACTTCTTGTGACAATCCTTGTCAGCCAAACCCTTCTCCTCCTCCGCCGACTCCATCTCCGCCGCCTCCAGCTACCTCCACCACCACCGCCTGTCCTCCGCCTCCTAGCTCCGGCGGTAATGGCGGTGGTCCTTACTACTACTATCCACCTCCTTCTCAGTCTGGCTCTAACCGTCCACCACCGTCTTCTTCTGACTCGGGAAGCGGCGGTGGCTACTACTATCCGCCGCCGAAAAGTGGAGGGAACTATCCTTTTACGCCGCCGCCAAATCCAATCGTTCCTTATTTTCCGTTTTACTACTACAACCCTCCGCCGCAATCTGTTGTATTGTCCGGATCTGATGTGAAAATTAGATTCTCTTACGGATTCTCTCTTGTCTTAATTCTTCTCTCTTTATTTTTGTCGCTTTTAAATTAAAAGGGCAAGAGCTAAAGTGGCTCCTAAGAGTACTGATAGAGGTTAATCGTAATAACAAGAAATCCTCACATCTTTGCTAGAGAATTTTTGCAGAGAAGATGACTATGCATGAGAGATCTTACGCTACAGATTGAAACGGTGAATTTTTTTCGCCAATTTTCTTCTGTAATTTCCATTACTTTTTGCTTGTACAAGTAGAAATATATTTGTACTTCTATCTTTTTAACAATTTGTGTTCTTATGAATGTAGTTTCCTTTATATAATAAACAAATAGATTAATACGTTTTATTTGCCTTAATTTTTAGGGTTTAGTTACTTTCTTGTGTGCTTAACTGCTTACATTCCAATCTCAACTAACTATTTGATGCTATAGTTTGGTTAAAGGACAAACTGAAAGCATCATTTTCTCAGAATATTCATATAAAATAGCATAATATCAACTATCATGCATTTTACTTCATGACTATGAAGACAAAAAAAGAAGATATTAGTTACATGTGTTTGAAAAAAGGGAAATGAAATGAGTATTTATTATTAAATGAGATGATGTAAAGAACGAAAATGAGCCACACACACTCACAGGTAGTGACTACTGAATAACCCACTTGACGCTCTTTTGGGTCCTACTTTTTTCGAAAAAGCCCAAAACCGCTATAAATGATTTCGGGTCTACACGCTCGCCGAGCATCCGATGACGATGTAAGTTGATGTTTATTTTTGTTTTTTTTTCATCCGAAGTTTGTAGCATCTTCATACAATGAAATTATGTTTGTTTGAACTAGTGACATCTTTGATGAGAGCGAAATTTGGTGACTACTGATTAGCGGTTAAAAAATGAAATACAAGGTTGTTTAGAGTATTGAACTTTTTTATTGCTATCGCAAAAATATTAACGGACAACATAACGTATCAGAGTTGATACCAGGGATAATGAAACGAACAAAACTATTATGATTTGTGTGGCGACTCCAAACAATAACTATTTTGGAGTCAAACGAGGTTTAAGTTAGAGTTAGTAGATCGTGTATGGTATGACCAATGGTTATATCAGTTAAAAAAAAAAGGTCAATAACTTAATGGTTGGTCCTTGTGGAGAAGTGTTTATCCCCAAAAAAAAGTGTTGAGAGAAATAGTTAAATTACTGTGTTTAATTTATGTGGTAAAAACACTCGTGTATGGTATGACCAATGGCTATATCAGTTAAAAAAAATAGGTCAATAACTTAATGGTTGGTCCTTGTGGAGAAGTGTTGAGAGAATTTATCCCCAAAAAAAAGTGTTGAGAGAAATAGTTAAATTACTTTGTTTAATTTATGTGGTAAAAACACTATTACTGTAGTTATCTTTGCTATTTGACGTAAATCGTGTTGATCTTTCCACTATAAAACTTAATATCAACTACATCGAAGCTTAAGACATTAATTTACCAAACAAGAGGCTTCTAAAGGTAAATGTGGGTTTCAGTTGTTTCATGCCTAATGCCTCCATGGACCATCAAGTAGTCATATGCAGCAATGAAATTTAATCGCTTGGGTTCATTTTGATAAGTTAAAAAGTTTGGGACTCGATGTGAAAAAAGTGGTAATAGTCAGGGAGAGGCATCAGGGTTATTCAATATTCATATAGAATTGGAAAGTATAAGGAAAGGATCAATTTGTATCAAAACTCAAAAGAGTGTAAATAAATGTGTCGTGTGAATTTGATCGGCGAGAGTGCTAAAACATGCAAAGGAATCCAGAACTAAAAGAAAGAAAAAAAAAGAAGCAGAAGCCGATATGTGTTTAGTTTTGGAATAATTTAAAAGTTTGGGGCACAATATGAAAAGTGTAAAATTATGGGGGTGCGATCAGAGTAATTTTAGTGGAATTCGAAGTCAAGGAGGTATCGGTTTGAAAACAAAGAGAGGGGAAATTATAGGAGCTAAAGAGTGTGTGGTGGAATGAACTTACAAAGACACATGAAGTGACTAGAGCCAATGCTTTAAAGACGTCCATTCCACGGCAAACCCCACCGTCTAGAAAAAACCAACCGTCTAGAAAAAACCAACCGAATCCGACGACTTGACGCAATACTTATCAAAGTCAAGACAAATAGAGTTTTGTTTTCTAGTTTTTCTATAAATAAATAAGCCATAATCATAAAAGATCTATCACTTACATACAAACACAAGTGAAAGAAGTAAAAAAAAAAAAAAAAAGGAGGGGTAACGATGATTCCAAGCCAATCTTATTGCTATTATGGTATTGTTACCTTGTATTTCTTCTTCTTGGTTTCCCTCTTCTTACACACTCTTGCTTCTCCTATGCTCCACTATTGCTGTCAAGACCAGAGGGATGCTCTTCTGGAGTTCAAACACGAGTTTCCGGTAAATGGATCCAACTCAAATCCATCTTTAAGTTCATGGAACAAGACTAGTGATTGCTGTTTTTGGGAGGGTGTCACTTGTGATGCTAAATCTGGCAAGGTGATTTCAGTTGACCTAAGTGGCATCCCTCTCAATAACTCTTTGAAACCAGATAGTGGTCTTTTCAAACTCCAGCATCTTCGTTACCTAACTCTTAGCTTTTGTGATCTCTACGGAGAGATTCCTTCTTCATTAGGAAACCTTTCTCATCTCACACATCTCGACCTTTATAATAATTATTTAGTAGGAGAAGTTCTGCCTTTTGTCGGAAACCTAACCCAACTAAGATACCTAAACCTTGCCTATAACAAGTTCGGTGGAAATATTCCCATTTCATTTGCCGACTTGACAAAACTGTCCCATTTAGACATCTCATTCAATCAATTCACGTGTGAAAATTTCCCTCTTTTTCTACAAAATTTTAAGCACCTTGTCCTTCTTACAAATTAGCAATAATCAATTTGAATCCATGCTTCCACGTGACATGAGTGGATTCCACAACTTGGAGTCTTTTCATGTGGGAGAAAACTCATTTTTCGGTCCTTTTCCTACATCTTTGTTCATGATTCCTTCGTTAAAAGCAGTTGGTTTGTCGACAAACCAGTTCCATGGACCTATAGAATTTAGTAATACATCTTCCTCCTCCTCTAAGCTTGAGTACCTAGACCTTGGTCAAAACAAATTCGATGGCCCTATCCCAAAATCCATATCAAATTTTTCCAATCTTAAATATTTATCTCTTAGCGACAACAACTTCACTGGACCAATCCCCAACTCCATATCAAAAATTCCCAATCTTGAAAGTTTATATCTTAGCGGCAACAATTTGACTGGGCCAATCCCTAGATCAAATATAGTCAAACTCGAGTCTCTTGATCTTTCCAACAATAAATTGGAAGGTGAAATACCTGGTTGGTTAGCTGGCCTGAGGGAGTTGCAGCTTTCTAGAAACTCTTTCAATGGTTTTGCAAAATCATTTGAAGTTTCCAATTTAACACAAATCCAGACGTTGGATATTAGTTCAAATTCTTTCCGAGGACCATTACCCTCTTGGATCTGCAAGCTTAGACCGTTAAGCCTCTTAGATTTGTCAAGCAATAGCTTCAACGGCTCCATCCCTCAATGTTTCAAGAACATTTTTGTTGGTCTTAGAGTGATAAATCTGCGGAACAACAATTTCAGTGGAATTCTTCTTCCAGAGATATTTGCCAATGCTAGCAACTTACAGTTAGTTGACGTCAGCGAGAACCAGTTGGAGGGAAAACTTCCAGAATCATTGATCAAGTGCCGTCATTTGGAAAATTTGAATGTGAGAAGCAACAGAATCAAGGACAAGTTTCCATCTTGGTTGAGTTCTCTGCCGTCGTTAAATGTCATGATCCTACGGTCAAATGAATTCTACGGGCCGTTGTATGATCAGATCCCAATGAGTCCATTGGGTTTCAAAGTTTAAAGGTCATCGATATTTCACTTAACGACCTTAATGGAACTTTGCCGCCTTTTCTATTTCTCCAGCTGGCGTGAAATGACCACAATATCCGAAGAAGATGGCACCACTTACATGGTAAATTATTACTACAGTCCTTCGATGGAAATGGTGAATAAAGGAGTCGATACGAGTTTTGAGAGGATCTTCAAAGACTTCAGAGCTATTGACTTTTCAGGAAACAAATTTTGTGGAAAGATCCCGAAAACTCTTGGATTGTTGAAGGAATTGCGTCTTCTCAACTTTGTCAAGAAACGCATTCACAAGCAACATACCTCAATCATTGGCAAATCTGACAAATCTCGAAACACTAGACCTATCTAGGAATCAGCTGTCGGGTCAGATTCCTCCAGATCTTGGAAGCCTCTCCTTTCTGTCGACCATGAACTTCTCCCACAATAATCTCCAAGGTCCTATACCACGAAGCACACAGTTTCAAAGGCAAAATTGTTCTGCATTCATGGACAACCCCAAACTCTACGGTCTCGAAGATTTATGCGGAGAAACTCATGTCTTGAATCCTACACCACAAGAATCTGAAGACTTGTCGGAACCAGAAGAACAACAAGTGATTAGTTGGATAGCAGCGCCCATAGCCTATGGACCTGGTGTGTTGTGCGGATTGGTGATTGGACATATCTTCTTTACCAAAAACCACGTGTGGTTCATGGAAAAGTTATGCCGAAACAAGCCTAAAATAGTTGGTAGAAGTGTTCGTTGAACACCATCGCTTGTATTGTCTTTTAAGTGTTTGTGAAGCAGATTTATGTGTGTTCTCCAAATGTAGTTTTCTATTATTATGGTTTTGTAATAAAACGTCTTTGGTGGTATTTGATATTAAACTGAAAATGCATTGAGATTTGAGAAACTTCTTGCTACCTAAAATCACAAACCTGTGACAGTACGAATGTTTGAATTATAGAGTCCATATAGTTAATGTATCGGGTTAATTCTTTAACCTTTAATTAATTAATTGGTTTCCATGAGAGATCGATGCATATGCTTTTGGTGATTTTGATTGTAACATATGTCTCTTTCATGGAAACCAATTAATTCACGTTGTTTTAAGTCTCTCAACTAAACTTTCCAAGTCAAAGATGAGTCTCTAACACCCTTGCTTCTCACACACGTCACTCTTACAGGACTCAAGTAACGAAGAAGCTGGGGTTTCGTCTCGGTTTTGTAATTCTATTTCCACAAAAACTTGGGTTCTTTTGTATAAAATTATTTTTTTAAAAAGGTGTATGCTCAGTTGCTCACAATGTTATAACATTTTATAGAACATTTTACTGTTGTATCTTGTAATAAAAAAAAAACAAAATGGGACATGAAAATCAAAAAGAAAAATCGCATGAAAACGAAAAGAGAATGGCGCGAGGATTGGATTGTCTCCATCACCGACTCTTTAAATCTCACCAACAAAAGCCCAAAAGCCGTGAGCTGTTTTATAGCTGGCCCGTTTTGACATCATGCGCTTATGAGCGCGTCGAGATAGACTCACATCGAAAGTACGGGAAATAAGAGCGAAACAGCTGGAACTAATTTTAGGGAATTTTGTAAAAAAGGTTACAAATTTTCAAATTCACATTGTTCCCTTTTCAAATTCGTAACTACAATAATTATTAACAAACCAAAAAAAAAAGATACCATATATTTTGTTCTCATTAATCTACACTTCTACAGACAGTTCTGAATGAACATTGCAAGATTCTTTTGTAAAGAAAACAAGAGATTAATAATCAACTAAATTAGTAGACATCTCTCACGAAATAACTACAGTAGAGTGAAGTTCGACCCAAAAAAAAAAAAAATACAGTAGAGTGAAAAACGAATAATTAATTAATTAGTAATAGCATATGACATTAGCTTGGCCTAAAAAAAACAATTCCGGCTGAATTACATATATATTTATAGATAAATCACTCTTCATCATCTCCTCACTAACTTATTTTCCCTAATCTCTCACAGACCATTCAGATATATAAAAAAAAAGAGTTAAGTGAGTAACAAAACTCATCCACAAGAGAGAGTCATAAGTAGTACTGCGGCTCGTTCTTCTTCCCCGAGTTTCCTCCATAGCCTCTTCTTCTCCACCGCCGATCTCTTCATCGCCGGAACTTTGAACCCTAAATCCAAAAATCTACTAACCCTTTTCACATTCTTCTTGCTACTGTTGTAACTCTCAGGATCTGTTGTCTTGATCCTGCTCTTGACATCTCCTGAATCCCTTCTTACGATCTTGACATTTCCCGAATCCTCTCTTGCGATCTTGACAACATTTCCCGAATCCCCTCTTGCGATCTTGACATTCCGATTTTCAAGAACTTGATTGTTACTAGTCTTGCTCTTGATCTTATTATCCTCTTGTCTAATTCCAAGAGCTGCTTGCCTCTTCTTCCTGCTCTTGATCCCACACGCATTGCACAAAGACTACAAAACAAAGAAAAAACAAAAAACTTTGATGAGACCCAAGATTACAAAAGCTAATCATAAGAAGACTCAAAGGTAATCATTATACAGACAAGGACCTACAACATAAAAGCATCTCTTAGGTACAAGGTCATCAAAAAACAAGTTCAAGATCTTGGCCCAAAGCCAAGTGTTTACAATTAAAGCTTACCAATGGGTGGACAGACCCGACAAGAGACACAGAATCAAACAATTCCACACAAAACATAAAGATCAACTAGCAATGATCTCCTTGTATGATCACAAGACCCATTACGCAATCTTCACCTACCTAGCTAATGATCACAGTACTGTGACACAACCTATCCTGAAACCCACTTGTAACAGAGCTAAGAACACAAGATCAACCCACATTTGAAGGTATTCAAGTGCCAATTTGACTAGATCTACAATCAAATCATGGGTTTCTAGGGTTTAAAGGAAAAGGGGGAAACTTGAAAGAGGCATGATCTTACTTTGGGTCCAGCTGGGCCACCACGCCAAAGTGGAGTCCTGTTTGTTCCGCAATCAACGCATGTCTTCTTCGTATCACCTCCACTTCCGCTACTGCTACAGTTCCCGTTTTCTACATCCGACGAATCTCCCGCCGATTCGAGCTTCGTCGTCTTCGTTTCTTCGGCCATTGACATCTACAAACCACAATGAAACAGTAAACAAACGCGATCGACAGCTACAAGTAAGAAACAGCAAAAGAAGGATCAAACGATCACAGAAATCTCACATTTTGAATCACTTGTTCGAGACGAGACCAGATTGAGAAGAATGAGAAACCTCTCTAGCTTAGCTGAAGAATCAGAGAAGCAGAAACGATAGAAAATGGCAGAGAGGAAATCAAAAACCTCTGCTAAAAGACTGTGATGCGTAGAGAGAGAGTGTGTGTGTGAATGTGATGACGATAAGGAAGAGAGAGAGAGAGAGACGCCGCAGAGGAGTAACGGATAAAACAAACGGAGAGTGTTTTTATAATGTAGGAGGAGGCGGGGACTAGAAACCCTAGATTTCGGTTTTATAATTACTGTACTACCCTCAGGCGGGGGATTTTATTACACTGGAACCACCCGCCAAACTAAACAAACAAGAAAAACTGAAAAAAGGAGAGGGAAAATTAAATTTTTACAACTTGTGAGTTGTGTAACTTGATCAGTAACAAAACAAACGTATCGCTGTTGAAGGGTTCTTTTGGTATCTTGTTACGAAATTTGAATATTTTCAAAGCTGGCGCACAAAAATTATTACAAATTTACAGTTGTTTGCTTTGTATGCCACGTTAGATTTGCCTAATTGGGCTTATAGATGCATGCATTTTTATCAACTGTCTTATAGATGCATGCATTTTTATCAACTGTCTTTTACATATTCTATAAAATCCTTCACTGTAAATTAAATGGAAGAATATTACGATGATTGATTTAATTTGCTTTAAATAAAACCCAGTTCACGTGTATTAAATGTATCATTTTTAAGAAAAAAATCTTTGAACGCACAAACCAGTTTGAAAAAAACATTTGATTTTTAAAGTTAAACCTTATTTTGAAGTTGGCGATAAGCATTAATAACATCGATTTACGGAGACATGTTGAAAAGAAAGAACATAGATATATTATCGATACGCGTGCATATGCAGACAACAATAGCCCAAAATGAATTGGACCGCACTGAGAACATATATTAAAAAAAAATAAAGAGACGCACCAATTGGGCTTTTTTTTGTCACCAATAAAACCAAATAACGTTTGACCAACTTTTATATGTTTTTGACTTTGCAGTGTTGTGTAGTACAAATGTAACAAAACCCACAAATTTCTCATCACGCTTTAAAACTATAAAACCCTTCCCAAATTTCCCATTGTAGTTTTTTATAAAATCCCCTCGGATGACTCCTACCCAACTCCCGGTTTATTTCATGACTCAAACCCACCCCAACCACTGAATCTGACCATACCAGACCGGAACCAGACCCAGACCTAGACCCGGCCAGACAAAGGCACTCCATCTGACTTTTACACAGAAGACCAGACTCTAATTAAAGACCCATTTGACCAGTGCCCCCAAACTCTTTAAACCTCCTTCGACTCTCCAATCATCATGTTTAGCTCCTGTTGAAACAAAACCAAACTCAAGGAATTACACAAAAGACAGATTCACTCGTACTTCCTATAGTCTACGCTTCAGATGCTCGGATATTTGGACAGGATTGAACTGTTCCTAAGATTTTAAGTATTTTTTTTTTTACCTTCACGTGAAGTTGAATCCACCTGGCGGTGCGGCTGCATCATTACCACCAAACTGGAAGCCCTGAGCAGAACCATCACCAGGTGGTAAAGCCTCATCTTCCTCTTCCAACCAGTATGTTTCGAGAATCTTCACTGCCTTCTCATAGATTTCGCTGTTGTCATGACTCTGCAGATTCTCAATCTTCTCTAAACCTTCAGCATCATCGATTAACTGTGCGTAGAAGTTTACATCCCCGGTATTTCCAGTGACCTTTTCAGCTTCCCCGACTTTTAGAATGTTCTCCAATCCTTCTAGACACACGGTGATAATCCTTGGATCAGGGCATATCAGAAGGTCACACAGTGGTTTGACGACTCCCTGTTCCACCATGTACCTATAGTACCCAACAAGGAAATCAATGTAAGTGAATGTTTTATAAGATGATAAACAAAGATTTTTAAGGAAAAGAGATCAACAGAAGATGAGACTGATATCGAATAATCATACTTGATTTGGTCAGGAGAACCTCCCGAAGTGGCATTTGATATTGCCCATGCAGCTTCTTTCTTTATATCAAACTCTGCATTTTGAAGCAGATTGACAAGAGGGCAAATCAAACCAGCTTCACATACAGCCTGCATTACAGAACGAATATTAGAGAACATAAACACACAGAAAATGTTCCTTCAAACAACGCTAGCCTTTTAAAACTGATAAGCTGGACAACATCAATTCCTCGGTTAAAGCTCACCTGAATCTGGTCCCTATTTCCAGCAGTGATATTTGAGATCGTCCAGCAAGCTTCCTTTTTTATGCTCTTTTTATGGTTGTGAGTCAGAAGGCTCAAAAGGCTAAGGAGAGCACCATGACTAATTACACACTGCAAGAAAAATTCTCATCGGCTCAGAACCAACTAAAAAAGAAAGAGAACAAAGTAGGAGCTGGTGAAATGTTTGAGCTCGAGAGCATTCTACATCTAAAACGATGAACACATGGTTCTGGAAGAGGATTGAGTTAAATTAGGATACAACTAAGCAAAAGAGGCAGGACACCAGACATAATGTAGTAGGAAGCTATGCAAGTAAACTTTTGACAACAAAATGTCATTATCAAAAGGTTAACATCCAGCTGCTAATCCATTCTTCCCATTAATGTTCTAGGAAGAGTGGAACATGTATAGTGGATAGAAATAACTAAACTTATAAAAGAATGTATACCTGGGTCTGTGCATCATCTCCAGTGACGATGTTACCAATACTACGAAGAGCAGGAATAAGAACAGATGGCGATGGATGCCTACAGCAAACCAAAATCCAATGATATTCATTAACACATAATCATATACAAAAAAAAAATGTGAATCACAGGATTAAAAAAAAAAAAAAACTCACCGGAGAAGCTCGACAAGTCGAGGAACAACACCTGCCTCAATGACAGATTGGATTTTGTCATTTGTGCCATCAGAAAGATAAGAGAGGGCCCAACAGGCATCGGTTAACACTTCCTCATCAGTCGAATGAATCAGGCGTTCAAGGGCTGGAAGTGCTGGACGAACCTGTTTTTAAGAGATCACAAATGTCAAAAAATCTTCCTTGATCAATAAGAAAGAGTCAGGCAGAGAATAAGACTGAATAGAGAGACAAACCTGGTCAAAAGGAGGCTGTGGCTTCCCCCTGCAGAAGTTTGAGAGGGTCCAAGTAGCATTTCTAAGCATCGAGAGTTTAGCATGCTCATTCAACTGAGAAAGCAATGGTAGCAAAGCTCCCTGACTTAGGACAAGATCTCTACACCGTGGAGAATCACCAGCAACATTGCCTAATGCCCAAACAGCCTTACACATGAACAAGGACGAAAATAAACTTTAGAACAAATATTAGTGACCAGGGAGTCTGTAAATAACAAAAAACCGTGGACAGAGAGATTACCTGCTCACGGACATCATCACTCTGAGAAGCCAAGAGTTTGACAAAAATTGGAACAGCACCATGTTCAATGACGACCTTTGTATTCTCTGAAGTCCCAGAGGCAATGTTCGTCAGTGCCCAAGCAGCTTCAAACTGAAGCCACACACACACATACAAAAAGCATAAAGTATCAGATGAAAATTCTAGCAAACGTGACAGATACATAATGAATCCAACAAACCTGGAGCTGTGGATAATCCTCCCTCATGAGAAATTCCACAAACCTTGGCACAACACCAGCATCTATCACTTCCTCGATTGGAGGACTACGCTCTGCCAAAGTTCGAAACCATGGATTCATTTCAAGAATTTGCCGAGTCGAATACAAAGACAAAAAAAAGCTCATACAGATACAGCAAAATTACCTATAGAAAGCAGTTTCCGGAACTGAGTAGTAGCTTCAAGCTGCAAGTTTCTGTCCTCTGACCAGACTCCGCCAACCATAGAAGGCAAACTCTCCAACTTGACCAAGATTAAAAAAAAGGATCGAAACGATCTAATCAGTTCCAAACACAGAATCAAATACAAAACCCTATGAAATCGGTTCCAGATCCATAGTAATTCTACCTTTTTCTCGACGGATGAAGCACCAGTGACGGAGGAAGGAGCGAATTGAGGTTGCTGGGTGGCTTGAAGACCCTCGCGACGCTTCTTCTGCAAGCTCTCTTCACGCTTGTTCTTACGGATCTCCACCATGTTGTCCTCTCTCCTCCGTCGTCCTTCCTCGGCGTCCACCGCCACTTTGTAGCGGTTCCGGCGAACCTCGGTCCTCGCGTTGGGTCTCAGAGACATGGCTACAAGCAAATATCCTCTCCTCGCTTCGTGACGGTGAACGAAGAAAGTCACTAAGATGATATGAGCCGACAAGAGACTGTGTATTAATTATTTATGAAGAAAAGAGAAAGGTGTATGTATAGAATCGGCGGATATAGATAGAGGATAAACCCTAGACGAGGTGGAGTGGGAACGAGAAAAGAGGAACAAAAAAAAAAGATACAGAGATTGAATTTCCTTGGTTTACAAATACATTTGGTAATCTCCGAAAATTTTAGTAGATTCGTTAGAGACTTTTACAGAGACCACGGTTGACTCCTCATCGAGTCTAATTTACTCTGTACAGCTAGTTTTGAATAATATATAATTATCATAAAATACACTTTCTCTAGCAAAACTTGGCATTGATTGAATGGTATATATAATACGAAATTAAAAGTATATTCGTTTCGGAGTAACAATTAACAAATACCATAACACAATCATAACACTCAAGTAGGCTCAGCCAAGTTTAAAGAATCCAGATAGTAGTTTTTTAATTTTAATAAGTATACACATATGTACGGCTGAAATATCTGATCTCTCTCACTCTTGAGGTATTGTATTGTAATGTCTTTTTTAAAGTTAAAAATCTCTTCTGTTTTTAGCGGAGATCGAGGACTTCGTATTTGAGTTTGGCATTGAGGAAGACGTGTGAGCAATGCTCGTAGATTGGGTTACCATCTTCTGATTCTTCGTGAGGGTGAAAGCCTCGTTGCTGGCAGTTACGGATCACAGATACTCCCGATGGATCCGAGAGATGGAATATTCCGTGAGGTGTTGATTCGTCCGTTGGAGCCATCACGATTGCCACTGCCTCCGGTAGCATTATCTGGCGGCGAAGATAGATACATATGTGGACCATATGGTAAAAATTAGATGTAGAATATAATCGCAACGCAAGTGATTAACTTTGAGATATTGAGAGGGGAAGTTTGTTGTACCTGATAGGAATAGTGTGTGTGAAGATCAACTGATGACATGAAGCAAGTTTGTGTAGGATGTGTCTGAAACCAAAATGTGATTACTTAGAAGAATTCAAAACCTTATCAACTAGAAATCTAGAAACGGAAGATCTTTTGGTTTATATTTGCAGTTTTGTATGATCTCTAAACACAATAAGAGTGAAGGAAATGAGATGGACTTGCTGCTCGATGAGGCTGAGAGAACTTACATGAATCCAACCCAAGGGGAATAGAGAGAGTCTGTCCTGAACTTCGAATATTTCTTCTTCGTTTAGTGTTTGGCACTGTACATCAACAAATGAGGATGGACCAAGTGTGAGAAGAATCCCAAGGGAGAATAAAAGAAGCGTTATTGATGTAAAATGGTTAAAGAAAATTGAACATACAGAATCTGAAGTAGACTCCTGCTTTGGGATTATGAGAGTAGTGATATGAAAAACCCTGTTTTTCTACCAAAAAAAAAAGGAAAAATGAATGATGACAAGATAAATCTCAGCTGATCATGACATCCAAGCACAATATAATTATAAATGCAAAAGTGTTCCCTCTACTCACCAGAGAGCCAGCAAGAACTCCACAAGTTTCTAGATTCCTTTCTGTGTTTGACCGAGCTAGCCTTAAGAAATCGTCCATTATGCGCACAGGCTTCAGCAAATTTAATTAAAGGGGAGACGACATTAGTATTATATTAACAAAACGGAAAAGAGAAATTTCACTGGAGCAGGGCAATTCGAGCAAGCTTTTGAAAACACATTTTTTCAACATGTTACTATTCCAAACTTCCATACAGTAGTTTCAAAATTATAATATGCTGATTCTTGAACACAGACAGAGTTAGAATAATCATGGGCTATCGACTTACATTTTCTACTTGAAATGCATGTCACTTCTTTTTTGCTCTCACAAACACTATGGAGTTTATGGAAATTGCACACATGTAAAAGAAGAAATAGCTCGAACTTACCACATGCAAATGCTGATAAGCATTGCTGCCATCTTTTCCTTCTAAAGAAGGAATTGCAGGTCCTGGTCTAGGATCAGCTACTTTAGATGGGCAAATTTGGGCTAACTCTTGATGCACTTGGGCAAGCACAGGAGGAGGGGAAGGTTGCTTCATACCGACAAACTGAAAGGGGTCTTCAGTTGCGTCACTGATAAACTGGGAATTTACCGCCTCAGAATGACGCTGCCATCGACCATCATCTAACGAGAGCAAAGAGTTTAGCGTTGAGACCTCTTGAGAATCACCATTAAGTGCTGTTGAGGAACCGCTATGTCCAGCGTCTATCAAACTGTTGAAATCCATGACATAAGTTGGAACTACCAATGAAATCAATAAAAAAAAAGCTTAAAAGGCAACAGAAGATAAGTACTTACCCTGAATTTTCAGCAGAACCCCAATCGGTATTAGTCGGATATTGAACCTGTTATTCCATGCAAAATAAAGATTAACCTCAGCACCTTCAGATCTAAACTCAAATTAAAATTAGATTGGAGCAACAAGAAAAAGAAAGAGTGAGAAAAATGTGGAAAAAACAACGATCAGCGATTTCTACCTTTATTTCTGATTTGGGTGCAACCCATTGACTTTTAAGACCATTTGGACCAAGAAATGTATGTCTGGATAAGGTTGCTTGGTTTGGAGGCAGAAAATCAAAAGATCTGCAGGTTCAGGATCACAATTAAAGTCTCAATGACACCTCGGATTAACATGGATAAGCACTTAACTTTTCGATACCCATTTCTTGTTCCGATATTTCAAAACTAATTTCTTGTTCCGATATTTCAAACCTAGAGATAAATTTAACAAAACGCAGTAACAAGTATCTTCGAACATGGTACCATAAACAGAAATGCCAAGCAGCATTGGCAGTTAAGTCCATCAGAATGCAAATTTTCTGGTAACAATGACCCAAACATCAGTAGATAAAAAAAAAAAAAAAAAAATGACCCAAACATCAATAAAACTATTGTGCTTGTAGAAACAGACATAGGTAAAGCAAGAAAATCAATGACATATGGATTGCATGCCCCTAATTCTCAGGATTTCCAAATGCTCAGAGAACTTGTGTTCAACTTCTGATTAAACAGAATTACTGAAAATTATAGTAAAGGAGAATACTCACAGCTTCTGGAATTGCTGATCAATCTGTGTACGATTTGTCGGTAAGGCTGGCTGCATCCACGGAAGAAAAAAGAAAGAAAAGGTTATCCTTATAAGAAAACACATAGATATGAAGCTTTAGGAGCATGGATTTTGAAGATGCAGTGATTAAGTCAACAAAGTAACCCTATATTAGACCTTCTTATTATCAGTTCTGGAGTATGAAGCTTTGTGGACAGGAGGCCACTCAACAGCATCTGAACTATATGATACGACCGGGAAATCACTTCCAGTCCGATGGGAATCATCGTCGGCTCTGTTCAGCTCATCCACTAGCCGGTCGAATTCCGGTTTCAGAGACTCGAGCTCATTGATTACAGCACGCAACCTCTGTTGTACAACGAAGTGCCACTTTTAAGAATATTACTATGTCTGGCAACACTAAACAACACTAAACAACACTTGATAGATAAAATAGAAATACCTGACCTTCCTACTCCCAAGTCTTTCTTGTGGAATCGATGCCTGGTAATCTCGATGGAAAGGAATTGTTTCGGAAATTAAACTGTGACAAAAAAAGAACAAACTTGTAACATTTCCATGGAAAATATAAAAGGAACCCAGAAGTACGTATATTGATCCTTTTCTCCTCACCTCGAATATCTAAGAAGCATGATATACAAATCCACAACATTCTTCTCTTCGCGATATATGCTGGCCTGAGCAATGTCCAAACATGTTATTACGTATTTCGTAGAAAATACACAATCTAAGGAACTGGAAGCAACCGATTAGGTTTACACTGAAACTAGAAATCAATCACTGATCCAATAAACTTCAAAATCTAATTGATAAACTATCAGTTACTTCCAGAAACCCGTAGTATAACCTAATAAAACCAATACATTCTCAAGTTCCTAGACTTGCTGCTAAAGCGAAATCAAATCCTAAGAAAATGCTTGACATGAACTGAGATGGAGATTCGAATCTCCGTTGCGATATCGGAACATACCTGTCGGAGAAGATTATCGGCGATGCGGTAGTAATTACGGAGAGGAATACGATTATCCACCTCGATCTTACGAGCCACCTTGTTCAGATCAATCTTCATCTTCACCGGTAACAGAGTATTTACAGGTTAATCTTTCCCGATTTCCAATCAAATTCTCCGGCGAAAGTGCTGCTGAGGATCGAAGAATCAATTTGCGCTAAGAAAACATAAAAGAGTCAGAGAAAGAACAAAACTGTGTCGTTTTATGAAACTAATGTCGACATGATTACCAACGAGGTCCGTCAAAAATCCAATCACGGAAGTTATTTAAAAGTCAGAATATGAGAGCATCCGCAATGCAAATACAGTCTTTAGTCTCTTCCCAATTTTTTTAATATTAAAAGTAGGAAAGAAACGTCTCCACCGATACCCATTAAAGAAACGTCTCCAGCAAATTTTTTCTTCCACTTGTATTTTTTAATTAAAAAAATTGCTAGAAACCTGAGTAAATACTCGCGTTGCGGATGCTCTGAGTCCGTTTCAAACTTATAAGGCAATTTTGACGTTTCCCTAATTTTCAGGGGTTATTATTTAAATTGTACATTTGAACAAAAAAAAAAAAAACCATGTTTAAAAAAAATAGTGAACGTCCGGGAAAAATCTACAATATCCATCAGAAAATCCCTCAAACAATATGAGCAACACGTGTATTAACTATCCACGACTTCAAAGATTCAAGAAACGGTGCAACTTTATGAGTTATCAGGTCCATCAGAGGTTCATGGTCCAATTTTTAAGATAAAATATATTTAAAAAATAATAAAAAGAACAAAGATTCATGGTTCAATCTCTTTTCGACAAATCTGAAGAGACAGTCTCTTCTATGTTATGTTTTCATTGATCGAAAAAAATAATTTCGAATAAAAAAAAAAAAACCAAACGAAAAAAAATATTATTATATTTCGGTGAACTCCTCTCTCAGGGATTCACTGATGTACATGCTCTTATCACCTCATTGCTTTAGCTGAAGATGATCAAGCCGGTGTCATGCACTCTTTGTTGTCTCAGTGTAAGCTCAAATATGTTATTCTTTTTAAGTAGCTTTGAGATATCAAATCCAGTTGTTTCCTCCAAGACATCACGTATATTGCACAAGCATGTATGGTCTTCTTCATCTTTATTTGTCCTCACGCGCGCTCCAGATGTATCTTTTTAATCTCTTTACCAACAAGCACCGTTCATATATATGTCTCGTCCAAGAGAATTGCCCCAACGACCAGAACTCGAGACTTGTACAGTTGTACGAAGTAAAGTCTTTCAATTTGTCATTATCAATGTTAGCAACATAATTAAGGTCTCAAGACATCACAATTACTGTGGAGTAAGAGTGAAGTAAACTATCTTTCAAGGACAATATCGACTTTAGCGTTGGCTCCATTTCTACATGCAGTATTATCTTCGCAGTACCGATCGATAAGCATAATTCTCTTTAAAAAGTCTATATTCAGAGACATTCAAACAAATAGACGGCAAATATCCGATAGAAGTTCCTTCGAGGGTGAGGCGGTTTCCAAACGTTCTTCGACATTTTTTCCCTTTCTTGTTTGATAGTGTTTGGTTCTTCTCTCCTTTTGTTGTGAAAACCCTACAACTTGATGTGATGCAAAAATTAATACGTGAGATACGACAAAGATTAAAAATGGTTAGTATGATTAAATTAATAATTAAGAAAAAAAATCATCAGACACAAAATTCCTTAGATAAATTCATCTAAAGAAATTTGAGTTTCATGATCTTTTTTTCTTAGAGTTAAAGGCAGTTTTATTTGATGGAGTTGGTCTAAAGATTTGACTATATATGAGCCATATAGTTTTTATTTTTACTTGGTTTATTAAATTCATATGTACTGATTTGTGTTACTCTTACTTTTTATAACAATACTTTCTAATATAGTTTGATGTTTATATCGTTTTCAACACAAAGCTATTTCTTCCGCGTTTTCAAACATTTGGCTGTCATGTAAATGATTTTAATTGATTCCATGCAACCTAGATCATAATACTCGTATCATGCATATCCAAAAACATCATGAAAATGTATATTATTTATATTATTGTAAACAGATTTGAAGACTATATGTCTTCTTCAATTTCGCATACAGTTTTTTTGCTGTCTAAGAGCATCTCCGTTAATGTTATTCATCCATAGATCTCTTAAAAATAGTTTAATATTTTTTTGGAGAGAGAAAAAAAAAAAAAACATTAAAAAAAAAAACAGTCACAGCCCTCCAACTAGTGTAAGAGATGGTTTTTTGTCTTTTATATAAGGAGCGATCCATCAAAATTTAAGAGAAATACCTATGTTTCTGGGCCAAATTTAGATAAAAAATCCTAATAGAGATGCTCTAAGAAATGTTTTCTCCTTCTCATCCCGATACAAGATTGTATACACGACAATAATCCCTAATAACATATACTAACACTCACAGTTACATACATAATCTATATATAGATATTAACAACTAAATTTTCAAAATGCGTATCATTCAAAATTCAATGCTCACTGCGCAGGAAAAAAGAACTTATTTGGCTTTAAATAGTCTAAGATCTGCCCTAAGCTTCAATAATTACCACTAAATCTTATCTAATCTTTGAGATATTGTAATTGGATAAGTTGGCAAAGGTTAGAAGGTTAATTTTATAATGCACACTAACGAAAACAGTCCATTGCTTGTAACTTCCATTTTGCCATTCATCTAATCAGCCTCTTTAACTATGTTATCAAACTAATTGTCTTTATTTTTTCATTTCACATATTGTTGAGCATTAGGGCAAATCGCAACTAAAAGAAAGTCAAACAATAAGAAAGAAAATTGCAATTAAGAAATATATCCATTTAAGGTCTTTACTAATTGTGTGAATGAATGAATAACTACAACCATGATATCGATACTTAATTTGTATAAAATTTAATTCTTAATTTAACTTAGTAAAGGAAAACATTTTCCTCTACTCTACTCGCTCAAGCAAGGACCCTACATACTTATCCACCATTATAATATAATACCCAAAAATATACCAATATAAAAAATACATATATATATATATATATAATAATCAGTCAAAAGAAAAATAACAATTTTCATCAGCAAAAGCTGAATTCTATAAATTTAAAATTTGGATGGTCTCTCCATTATTAGGATGGAAAGGAGATTATCAAATGATCTAAAGCAATATCACCAACTTTAACATCATTAGAATCAGAAAATGAGAAACCAAAGCTCTAAGATCGGATGAGCTCGAATTAATCAAATGGCTGAAGTTTTAAGAGGTGACTTTTTGTGGTGATCCTACTCAAATTTACCGGTATCTTAACAATAGAAATAGCGGGTCATCATCGCAAACTTAGAGGCATGCACTTATGTCAATGATATCCTAATGATTGCCAAACGTAGAATGTCATATATATAGCTTCAAATTTAGATCCTATATAAGCCAATGTGATGGCTGATGTTTTTGCTAAGAATGCTATAAACAATATGCAGAATTCTGTTGTATGTTGGACTCTCCGAATCCGATGTTTATATTATGAAAATTAAAAAGTTGGACGACAAATAACAAGAATCTTCTTGGTTTTTTTTTGTTGGCATAGTGCATTTCCCATACTAGGAAAAGAGTCAAACTTATTTGCCCCTTGAAGTTACCAATAGAGTCCACTTATTTTTCGACAATCATTCTCTATGTTCAAAGTCAAAGCTCGCCAAAACTTTGACATATCATCTTATAGTATTTCAAAGAAAACTAAAATATCAAACGGTTTATGCATTGGAGAAAAAGAAAATAGAACAATAGGGTCTATTCAGCAACAATAGGGTCTGTACCATTTATTGAAACGACAAGCATTTTATGGACCAAGGGCCAAAACAGAACAAACTATCCATAAACTGCATAAAAAGTCTATTTTTTAATGGAAACATGAAACACGTGAGTAGGCTCACCAAACCAATCACGTTCCGTTTCCATGTCAAACCCTTTTCATTGCACCCTAAAAGCTCGAATCTGTCTGCAAATTTAAACAATTTTTTTTATGAATATCAATTCAAATAAATCGCAGTTACATTATATGAAAATAACACATTATATATATTTATACTGATAACTATTTTCTCACCAGATTCTCTTGTCCAGTTGCACAGGTAGGTCTTCTAGGGGGGAGTTGCTTGCGAGGTGTTCTCTGAAAAGAAAAGATCAAAATAAGCTTAAGGTGAATAATTAAGAAATGCAACTGGCACTAGTATATATAAGTAGATTCAAAACGTTACCTGTAATTTGGGTCTTAAATTTTCAATTTCCGCTATCGTTCTCTCATCTATATTTGCATCTTGCTGTGGAATATATTAATAAAGGTTATAATATGCCACAAAAATAAAAGAGAAAAGGTCATCTGAACATTTAAAGTTAGATAGATTTGCACAAAACTGATATACCTTTTGTAAAGCCCAATCTGCTGAATCAAAGAAAGCACGTTTGTGATCCTGCGTTGGTTTAAAATGGATAATATTAACAACTTAAATCATCAACTCAAATCATATGAGAAGATATGAAATGGTTACTTAAAGAGATATTTTCACCTGCGAGATCAGAGGCTTTTTCTTTGGCACAAGTCCTCCATACTTGTTTTCACCAGAGTTAGACTAAAGTTCAAAACAAAAGACATCCAAAATAAATAATTTAATTCCAATATTAAAATGGCCTAGAGGCCAATCTACAGCTCATAATTTGTTAAAGAAATGTATATAGCTTATGGTAGTTACAAGATAATGATCTTTTGCTGACAAATCCTAAAACCGACAAATCCAAAGAAGTTCACAATCAGACCAAACAAAAACTAAGGAAAAATAATGATCTTCGTCGGAATTTTTCAGGCGGACGAAGAACAGGTGTCCAAAAACGTCACACGTGGTAATTCATGAAACCGTTGATTTCGCAAAAGGTTCAGATGAAGATGAGTCTATCATTTACGACCGTACGTATTAAAAGATCTATCATTAAGATATTTTTAAAAAGAAAAAGTGTTGTATTCCTATCAGAATATCTTCCACCCGACAGAAAAATCAAAACAAAAACTCCATTTGGGAGTCCAGTTTTAAAAAACGATGAAATTATTTAATAATGATGACTTGCAAAATGTATAGATTAAAGATTCATTTAATTTTGACCAGAAATAATAAAAAAAATATATAATAATGTTTGAATGGTAGACGTAAGATGAAAACAAACGTGTACGCCGTCGTTATATTGCCGACGATTAGGTTTGGCAATTTACCAAAAAAAAAATTTGTTTTGACTTGTTGACTAATAATCTAATCTTAGTCAAAACTTTTCATAAAGTTACAAAAAAATGGATTTTACCTTTCAGAAGTTTTTTTAATATTGCTACCCAGATTTGATATTATCATTAGAATTGTTAAGATTGATTCAAAAGCGATAAATACTCTTGTTACTGCTCAACCAACCACTAATTTTCTAGTTAACTTAAAAACATTGCACCACGGCTTAGATAAACAATCATGAATCGATAAACAAAACAAAAATCCTCAATCGATTGGTTTAATTACCTCTTGTTGTTGAGAAAATAAGCAATCGTCGGCTCTGTTGTAACCCGTCGCCATTTTTCTCGAACCTTCTTCTGCGTCCTAATCGAATTAATAAGAAAAAGAAAAAGAAAAATCAATTTGAGTTATTAATGAAAAAACATCCTGCATTTTGGAGATAATCTACTGTCTACACGAAACTCTAATTACGCTTAAAGAAGAAGATAATTTGGATTAGAGAGAGAGACCTTAGAGAGGTTCAGAGGACTGGGAAAAAATAAGAGGAAGAGGATGAGATAAGAAAATGTGTTTAGCGAGATTATATATACACACGCATACATGTGTTTATACATCACACGTACACACGTGCGTACTAATTAGGCACCTAGGCTAAGCGCAACATACACGTGTGTGTGGACCTGTTAGATATTTTCTTATTATGATTTTCTTGGTGGTATGTTCAAAACTTTAATATTACCATTTAATAAGACTTTGTAATCTTTTTTTTTGTAAGGACAGGTGGACTTATTGATTTTCTGTATTAACTTGTATGCATATCGATATGAGGGGAGAATACAATCATCTATATTTTAAAATTTACAAATTGAGTACATAATTTAGTATATCTAAATTGTTGAGAAATTTAAGATTACTCATCTTCATATTTATTTAGGTCAAATTAGATGTCATTATATATTTAAACTCTACAGATACTATATAAATTATCCAAATTTTAAAAATGAGAATCGCTGGTTTAAAGATGATGAAGACATCTAGTATAGTAATTTGTTTTAGTGTTAATATTTTGTCACCATTCAGATTCAGATCTATATGATGTATGTTGTTACATAAATTTTTGTAAGAAAATAATGAAAAATAAATTTATGTTTATATCTTTTATTTATATTTTACGTAAAAAGACAAGAAATACCTATCAATAATTAATTAAAATAATAATTTTAAATCATAAGATAGTAATTGTTTTCTTACTTTTAAGAAACTGATAAAAAAAAGTGTCCACAAAGAACATGTGTCATTTCTGTTCTAAGATTTGTTATTAATTAAAGATGAAAATAACAAGATAATCAACTTGAGGATAATTACATCTTACTCGTGAAACAATAGAAATTATATTAACAAATATTTTTATTTTTGTTGGGTAAAATAGATTTAATTGTATAATATATATTAACATAAAATTTGAATATAAAAAAAAATAAAATCTGATAGACGTAAACTCCGAATAAAGAAATAAGATCTAATTAAGGTAAATTTTAAATAATTGTTTTTTAACCGAGATCTGAATCTTATAAGAATAGAGGTTCAGACCTAACACGTCATCCTAATCCTAACTGATTTAGGGTTTAAGAGAGGCGTATAAAAAGAAAAACTACAAATTAAATGACATAAAAAATAAACAAAAAATTTCTTAGATATCATACTTTCGCAAGAGCTTAACATTTACGTTATATTTTAATATTATGAACATTTTTATTGAATAAAAGAATTTTCTCTCCTATCAAATCTATACATACTTATCAATTTCATATTCATAATAACTTTATCAATTAGCTACATTTTTTTTGTCGCCAATCGGATATATTATTCAATAGAGTTAACTCAACAAAAGGTACAAGAGATCTAAGAAAACAGAAGTACTAACGCACTAAAAGGATAACACAACAACCCACGAAGAAGTTAACTAAGGATGACAAAACGGGTTAAACATACATTTAGTAAAAAAGAGTAAAATGTATTCGCTAAACGGGATAGAGGGAACATAATACCATGGCTAAAGAACCTTAAATTCGATCGATGCTACAATATATTACTTTCTGTTATGATATGAAATAAGTTTTTAATTCTTTTAGTTTTGTAGGGTCTAACAAAGTCAATGTGGAATAGATTGTAGAACTGAAGTTTATCCTGCCGTTAGGACATCACTTACATTGTTGGTCCCTCACACATGTTCAACCGACGGGTTTTTCTCCATATGGGTCATTGTCTAAATGGCCTTTAAATATAATACCATGACGATTCATTTCTTTATACCGTTTGAATTTATTAAATATATAATTTTCTTATTAGCCACAATGTGGTGGCGAGGAACGCCTTCAGGGGATGCAGCAAGACTACGTCCACTTGTTTCTACAAATTTTAGTCAACTCTACACTTTAACCATTTAAAATAATGTTACACATCGAAAATCTTTTAAGAAATTATAAATTCGAAAAAAAGATGAATGCTAAGAACAAAGCACTATAGAAACACATGATACACACAACCAACGTCACTTTGAGAAACTAAGAGGATTTTCAAAACTAGAGACTCCTTTCAAGGTGAGGAAATGAGAGGACTTTCAAAACTTGAGACTCCGATCTCAAGAAAAGATGATTATATAAAAAAGTTTTACATGAACCTTTTTTATATATAATAAAGTTTTACATGAACTATGAGTTCATAGCTTAACCATATAGAAAGTTAATTACTTAATGACATATATATCTTACTTTCTAGCTATCAGTAGATAGTTCTTCTTTTGTTTCTCCAGAAATATAGGGATCATATTACATCAAACTGCTTTCGTTTTATAACGTACACTAGTTCGACGAACAAACACTCAACAAAATTAATATATATATATATTATATATATAAATTTTTTTTTTTTAACATTGAGTGACTTTAATTTACAAGTTTAGGAATATGAATGGTTATTTGGATAAACAAAATCTACAAGAACTATCAAATTTCCTACTGAAATCAGAATATTAGATATATCGTTAATTGAACAATATTGTTTCTAATTCTATGTTTAGAAGCAATGAACTAAGATTTCATGTATAATTTTGTCTATACACTTTTTCTAGAGCCTCCATTCGTTAGTTTCTCATGAGTCATGATGGAATGTTTTCATGTTCACAAAGTATCGTGTTTTGTTACTATAAAGTGGTCCGGTGTTGTACCTTTGGTTGGGGTTAAAGCTATGTACGTTCATTCTCTCACACTAGCAGAGATCATTAATTGTTCTAAATAGCTGTCTTGTGAGTTGCATGGGACCTTGAATAGTTTCAAATATCTTTCTAAGATTTGCTTTCTTAAAAGATCTATGTTCTCTTTCAAGTTTCCACAATTAGAAGAGGCAGACTATTTACACACACTATTGAAATCAACTAAAGGAGATGTTGGACATCAATTTAAATCATTGTTAACAATTCAAAATTTAAAACTAAAAAGCTTCACAAAGTTTTACATCAAAAGAAGAAAAGATCTTAGGTCAAATGTAATTATCTTCTATTCTTTTACTCGACGAAAAGAAACATTCAAATATAGTTTACAAAAAGAAAGAAACATTCAAATCTAGTTTTTTTTTTTTTTTAAAGTAAAGAAACATTCAAATCCATTACAAACTTAATTATTCAGACTTGTAGAGCATGCATGTCTTCCATAGCAAACTATGAAACTAATTATAAGAAGAGATTTACGCATTAGTCGTAGAGCAGTAAATAGATTTCAAAGAACTAAGACATGTAAATCATCTCAAACACTTATATGCAATGCATTATGTAGCTGTCTATTCGCTTTTTCTGCAAAGAATGTAGTTAGATTCGGTATTTTATAAAAGGTTTGGTATATTCGATAGGTTTTTTTAACCTTCTATATTTGAAGCTAGCAATTTTAATTAGTAGCCAGTTTATTTCAACCGTCTTTACTTCAAGGCAAAATAATTATTTAATAGACACACTAGAAATTAATCCGTATAATACATGAAATTATAATATTTTAAACAATATTTTAATAGTTAATATCAAAAATTTAGTTAATATAATTTATTAGTATATATAAATATGCATATATTAACATTACCAAAAAAAAAATTACATCCATCAAATAAAAATTTAATTTATCATTAGCTAATAAATTTTATAATATTTTAAAATATGATAATAAATAGTATGAAAAAAAGTAGAATAAACTATTTATTTAATCTGTAGACAATATATTAAAATATTATTCTAGCTAATAAACAAAATATTATTATATTATATCATCAATTCTAATTTTCACCGTTTAATAGCAGAATTTTATTGTCTGTGATGAATTATAAAAAATTAATTTTATCTTGTTTAACTATATATTAAAATACTATAATATTTTTTAAATTTAGGTTTGATATATAACAAATAAAAATGCAACAAACTATATTTAATTTTAAAAGTCAAATAATAATATTTATATCATATATTTTAAAAACTAATATTTTGAATTATGAAATTTGTTTTTATAGATATTTAAAAATTACAATCATAACCTGTTCATATCAGACTAACCCATTTATTTAATATATTTGTATTTGATTAAAATATAATTTAAAAAAATAATTCTAATATATACCGTTTAATGACTTTTATTCCACCATAAACTTTTTTATTTTAAAAAATAATTTTCTCATGTTAAATTTTTGGAAAAAACAACTGAAAAAAAATACTTTTGTATATAATCAAGTAAATATAGTAAATTATAGAAAAAATAAATATTTTATTGTTTTTTAATATCATAACTTTTAACTTTGACTTTCACATTATTTTATTAAAAAATTATTTATTTTTACGTTTTTTAGTGAACTATATTATATAATATCATTTGAAACAAAAAAATATAAAAACACTACAAGAAAAACATCATTTTACAACGGCCGAAATGGTCGTTATTTCGTCGTAATAGGGCTATTACGACGGACTACCGACAATTTCAAAATCGTCGTAAAGTCATCGTCGTAATAGACAAATCGTCGTAAAATCGTCGTATAATATACGACGGTTTCGTTTCGTCGTAACATCGAGGGAAACAAAATCGTCGTAAATGCGTCGTACAGTTTACGACGAATTTACATCGAATTGCGTCGACTTGATCTTCGCTTGGACCGTCGTTAAGTGGTCGTTAATGGTCGACGTAAGATCGTCGTAAAATGTACGACGCATAAATCATCGTAAATCAATCGTAAAGTATTTAATCATTTCGTCGTAAAATCGTCATAAAGCACGGACGTATAATCGGCGTATTTGTCGTCGTAAATTTTAGTCGTAAATTTGTCGTAATATTTACGACGAATGTACGACGGTTTTAATAAAGCTATTACGACGATTATACGACGTTTAATATAATTGAAAATTAAAAAAAAATAATTCGAATTAAAAATTAAATTAAAAAAAAAATAATTTACAATTTAAAATTTATTAAAATTTGAAATTAAAATTAATTGTAATTTACATAAAAACCCTACAGATCTAAATCTAAATCTAAATCGTCGAT